ACATTGAGCTGTAAGGGATTAACAATAGCAAAGTCCAAGCATGGCTACAGCCGCCCATGACCAATGTCCCCATCGACCACTCCCAGCGGCTAAGGGTTTTTCGCGTCCCAAAATAAGGCCAAATAGACCTGTGATGACCACAAATGACCACGCAGCCACTAACACTGACAAGGGTCGATCGGCAGGGTAAATGATCACCCATCCACAGTCAGTAAGTGTCGTCTACGCAATGAATGCATGAAGACGTCCGACACACGGTCCTTATAAGGGTAACTCTATTCATGAATGGCCTCTGAAAGTGGCTACCTGACGAAAAACAGTCTCAGACGCTTAGGAATACAACGCGGTGAACAACACTTTTCCACTTTCATTAAATAAAAGAAATTAGAAAAAAGAGAAGAAAAACATTTGAATGGCAACATAGTTGTTATTGCTCTCACTGTTGTTATCTGAGGAACGGCTTTTGCTTATATTTAGCCCTAAAATAAGCCCTAAGACTAGGTAAGTAATCGCAGCCTATTCTGGTAAAATTTGAAATTTTTTCACGTGTTTTTTGTTCCAAAATAAATCCGCTAAACGAATAGTCGAAACTACCTAGGAGTTTCGCTTCTGCACAAGAGACTCTGCAAATCCAAATAAAAGTCCCGGGTATAGGACCACCCCCTTACCCAGTACTACCAGCAGTCCTACGCTAAATTCCAGGAAGAGTAAATAAACTCGTGTCCCAAGCCTAACTCTCACCTTAACACTACCTCTGACCTTAATCCTAACCTTAACCTTAACCCCCAACCGTAACTAAGTGTCAAGTAGTCCTTAACTCATGAAAGCTGGCATTAACTGCAAAGCCTAGGGAGACAACAGCGGGGATTGATCATATGCGTCTTTCTCATCCACCGGGGTTTTCAAAAAGCCTGAACATCAACGGACGAAGCCTCGCCTTCGCCGCTGTCGCTAAGTCTAAGGTGAAAGATTCCAGCCCCCTCCACCCTCCCCTAAGAATACATGTGTTGAGATGGCATGCCGGTTTGACAGTTGCGGAGACTATAGGTGTGGGCTAGCACATCCCCCTCCACTCTAGGAAGTGCTGTTGAATGGATACAGACAAAACTCCGTCGTCAGCTGACAGTCTGGCTCAACTGCTGGATCCAAAATGGAGACGGCAAATGATTGCCGGGACAGATGCCCTACTGTTATTTGCTGTCAGGACCTTCTAATCCGTACCGAGGTTGACAAGGCCGGCCCCAAAGACACGAATAAGTACTACCGCCCAGTATCTTTAATGCTATC